TGTCCTCTGTATTCCCATTGCTCTTGTTGGTGAACTTAATAGTGTCCAACAACTGTTTGTGGGTTGGTTCATATGTCTTAATGGTTTTTTTTGTTCTTTCAAATTTCATAATCTCCATCAGCCTTTTCAAGTTTTCCAATACTTTCTTCTTCCAATTTATATCTACTATTGAGCTACTTTAGTTAAGGTTTTCATTTGTTTTTGTTTTTGTTTTCAGTTGTAGAATTTCTGTTTGACTCTTATTTTAATATTTGTTTTTAATGATAGTCTGTATTCGAAAAAGGCTTTGTCACCACACCTTAAAGCTTCATTTTCTTTAATCATAATATCTGCTTTGCAGTCTTTGTTAAGTTTGTCATCTGGATTCTTTCATAGGCAGTTTTGGTTGCCTACTCTTGTCTATATTTACATTTTTTGTTTCTTTGCCTGTCTCATAACTTTTGGTTGAAAACTGAACATTTTAGATTATAAATTAAACAAACCAGTATACTGCACCTCCACCCAGGATTTTTGTTGCTCATTTATTTATTAATTTAATGATTTGGCTCATTTATTTTAGAGAAATGTATGTTTCCTGAATTGTACAGCTTCTGAGAGTGCTCATTAGAGGGTTCATGTTTGGCCATGTGCATTTTACTCCAGGGATTAGCAGGGCCTTCTTTGTCTTTTTTTTTTTTTTTCCTGATTTCTCTGTTAAATTCTCTGTACTCCTCTGTTACCATACCCAGAGTAAGCCTCCACTAACTGCCACTCTATTGCACAATTGTTTCTGACATTGTTGTGGGACATAAATTTCTCTATAGTTTGATATATTCTAAATTGGGCCCCATTATTAAGTAACTTTGAAGCCAGTCTTTGCAGTTTGTTCTGACCCTGGAAGTGCTCTTCTTAGCTATCTCTTTCCTTCATTCTTTTTGATATACTTCAAATAGTCAAGTGTTTCCTTTCTCTTCTAATAGACTCACCAGCCTCCTCTTAATTGCACAATTTCATTGTTTTAATAATGCTCTTAGGCTTGAACTTCCCCTGATACTCTGTTCCATAAAGTCAGTTCTCTTTGTAAGGTCAGAGTGGCTCCAGATATGCTGTATTTATTCCTGAGTAGAACCCCTGTGCCACTTGTGTAGAGCAGGGGGAGGGTCAGTGGCACAGTTCTCTCAGTAACATCTTTCTTTCATAAGTAAAGTGCTGAACTATGGCAATTCCACGTGACTCTCCACCCAACAAGTGAGTTGGGTAAGAGCAAGTTTCTGTATTCTTTTTATTTCTTTTAAATTTATTTAGTTATTTATTTGTATTATAATTATTAATACACCATTATACAATAATTTATCATATCTCTGATTATATATAAGGTATGTTGACACCAAATTCACATCTTCATACATGTATTTTGTATAATGATGAGAGCCTCCTTTCACAATCCATGCTATTCCCCTTCTCCCTCCTTTTCCCTCCCACCCCTATTCCCTATCTAGAGGTAATCTTCCTCCCTTGCTGTCCCTCCAACCCCATTTTGAGTCACCACCCCTTATATCAGAGGAGACAATCACAATTTGTTTTTTTGGGATTGGCTAAGTTCACTTAGCATAATCTTCTCTAATGCCATCCATTTCCCTGCAAATGCCATGATCTTATTCTTTTTTATTGCTGAGTAATATTCTATTGTGTATATATGCCACATTTTTTTTTTTTTGTCTATTCATCCACTGAAGGACATCTAGGTTGGTTCCACAGTTTAGATATTGTGAATTGTGATGCTATAAACATTGATGTGGCTGTGTCCCTGTAATATGCTGTTTTTAGGTCCTTTGGGTATATTCTGAGAAGAGGAATAGCTAGGTCAAATGGTGGTTCCATTCCCAGTTTTCTAAGGAATTTCCATACTGCTTTCAAATTGGCTGCACCAATTTGCAGTCCCACCAGCAGTGTATGAGTGTACCTTTTTCCCCATATCCTTGCCAGCACTTGTTGTTGGTATCTTAGAGTAGTTTTAATTTGCATTTCTCTGATTGCTAGAGATGATGAGCATTTTTTTTTTGTATATTTGTTGATTGATTCTATATCCTCTTCTGAGAAATGTCTGCTCAGGTCCTTGGCCCATTTATTGATTGGATTATTTGTTTTCATGGTGCTTATCTTGTTGAGCTCTTTTTATACCCTAAAGATTAGAGCTCTATCTGATGTATGAGGGGTAAAAATTTGTTCCCAGGATGTAGGCTCCCTATTTACCTCACATCTTATTTCTTTTGCTGAGAAAACACTTTTTAGTTTGAATCCGACCCATGTATTGATTCTTGATTTTAATCCTTGTGCTATAGGTGTCTTATTAAGAAAGTTGGTGCCTAGCCCCATGTGATGGAGATTAGGGCCTACTTTTTCTTTTATTAGACGCAGAGTCCCTGGTTTAATCCCTAGATCCTTGATCCATTTTGAATTAACTTTTGTGCATGGTGAGAGATAGGGATTCAATTTCATTTTGTTGCATATGGATTTCCAGTTTCTGTCTTCTGTAGGTATTGCACCTAGGTTAGAGCTTTTGTCCTGAGTGGGAACTGAAGTGGGGAAAGAAAGTTTCAGACATCAGCCATTCTTGCCTGGGATAATACCTCTGAAATATGGAACTAGGGCAAAGATGTGATAAATGTGGTGCCTTTATCTTTTAGGTGAGATACTTGAGCTTCCTGAGGGAAGAGGGATTCTGTGTTCCAGCATATACCTATTCACAGTAGAACTTCTGTTATGCTGAACTGGGATGAAAAGAAAGGAAGGGAAGAATAGAGAGCAAGTTGTGGTTTAAATGGTATAGATTCTCATTGTTATAAAACTCGATATATTTTTTGAATATATTAAGAAAATGAAAATATTAAGTTAATGGGAATAGATTTTCTTGAATAAATATTTATTCCTTTTGCAGCACTTTCTTTGGAGAATTCTCAGAAATCTTTAAATTTTCAAAAAAAATGATAATAATTTGCACTGGTTATCGTTGTTTCATCAAGGACAGTTTCCACAGAATTATTTATATCTCCATTCCAGAACTCCTTTTCCCAGTGTGATCTTTTTCAAAGCCACTTTTCTATTTAAAGTTCTGCAATGATTTCCCATCTCAGTGACTTTCCTCCTGTTCTTCAAACATGCATGTGCAGTCTTGCCTCACCAAGGATACTCCTTCCCGGACTTTTGCACTAGATGTTTGCTCTAAATAGAATGCTTCCTTGAGATGCTATTGTCTCTTCTTAGCAATATTATCTCAGATTAGCCTATGTAAAAAGTAATTCACTTAATATATTTTGAATGGTTTATTTCTTCGTGATCTGTCTCTACTTATTAGTTTTCTTTACAAAGTACATTTTGGACATTTGCAGGATCCTGGAGCTCCAGTGGCACAATTGGTTAGCATGTAGTACTTATAGGATATTTGCAGGATACTATTTTTTGCTTGAAAATCCATTATTTTCTTTCCTTTTGTCAGTTGAATGAACTGTAGATATTATCTTAAAAGTTTCTCTAGTGTCACATGTGTTTATCTGATTACATTTTTGTTACCTTTGCAAGTGAGCAGGAGTAAAGAGTACAATTTCTGCTTTACTTGCTTAAATGGTTATTATGTTTCACTTGTTTTTATGTGTTCCCTTTGTATTGCACTGGAATACCAATGACAGTGTCCTTGGATGAGGTGAAACAAGATTGAATGAGTTTATGAGACCGGGCTACCCCATAAACCTATACAGTTCATGAGAGACGTAAACTTCTGTTTTGTTTAAATCATTAAAAATTTCATTCTATTAATACATCTTACCCTATTTTCTGGGTCACCAATGAAAGTAGTTTGAATGAAGAAATGGTGCCCACTTAAGACATATGAGAATTAGGACTTGCTTCCCTTAGATAATTTTTGTTGTACTTCTGCTATTAAGGAATAATGGTAAATTAATTTTAAAAAAGGAATAATGGTAACAATAAATTTACCTGGTTCATCATTTGAACTTACATAACTTTACTGTTTTGTCACATTGAGTGGATGTTATTGATATTTGGTAAGCTGTTTCCATGGTATGGGTGTGGTGTAATTTGATCCTTTCTTACAAAGACTGTTAAATAAAGATTCCTGAAAAAAATTTTGTCTAATGCTTTTTCTGCATCTATTTATATAACCTTACATTTTTTTTCTCCATCAATTTGTTGATACAATGAGTTCTGCAATGCATGAGCACAGTGTTCTTATACTTTGCTTACTTTCATGGATTCTTTTTTAATATTCAAAAATTTCGCACCTGTATTCAAAGATGAGTCATTCTGTGTTTCTTTCTGTTGCCTTACTTGATTAGGCACTAGTTCTAGTGAAATATTCATTGTGATTAGAGGGAATATCCCTCCTTTGTTTTTAATCTTAGAGGGTAAAACATTCAGTATTTTACCAATAAGTATGGTGTTAGTTTATAAATTTTATTCATTGGGTAATATTTTGGACATATTGTGGTAAAGTATAGTATCAAAATTATCCTCACTTATTTATTTTTATCGTTTTTTAGGCTGTACAGCAGTACATTTAGAATTACATTGTGTCGGCTAGTACTGATAAATAGTACTAGTATGTATAATGTAGTACAAATATAATTTTTGTGATGTAGTAAGTACTTACAGCTCTTTTTTACTGGAGAAGAAAAATCTGACTTCACACTTATTGTCTTATATTCCTATTGATAGTTTAGTTGTGTTCTTCCTGTCATTATATTTTAAAAATCATATAGACATATATAGGTACAAAATCATTTGTACATTCATAGTGGCAGAAATTTCTCACACACATTCATACCTTGATGAATATTGACAAACACATCCTTAGTCCCTACATAGAATGATATAGTATTAAGGAAAAACAAATATTGCATTGAATTTAACAGCATACTATCTAAGATGTAGTAATTTATGAGTAATTTTTACCTTTTTATCTGGCAAAAACCTAATGGATGTTTTTTTCCTTCCCTTACAATAAGTCCTTTCTTCTTGTGTAAAAGACACCGAGAAAAAATTTTTAGAGACTATGAGGCAAAATGGGTTTACATAACCAAAGGATCTGAGGACGGGTTTCCAAAGGATATCATTTTCAAGGATGAAACTAATATAAAAGAAGAATTTACCCATTGGAAACATGTAAGTATAGTTAGTTTATTATTTTGAGATATTTTTTCTTATGATAGTAGAGTCCTAAATTATGAAGCATTAGTAAGAATTTCTTGAATCTTAAATATCTTCCATTATATTGTTAATATTATTATTTATACTATGAGAAAATTCATATAATTAATTACTACATTATAATATACTACATTAATAACATCATCATTATTTAATAATATGTGCTTTAATATATTAATCTATTTAATTATTGAAATAATAATAATGACATAAAACTCAGATGAAAGCAAAAAAATGTTTAGGTTATTAAAGTATAGTATATTCATTTAATGTTTTATAATAAATCACAACTTGCTTTGAGGATGCATGGAAATAGAAATTTACTTACATTAGTTGAATGCCTACTATGTACAGGAACTGTGCTAAAAGGTATTGTGCATATGGTATGCAGTTTATTATCCACAACGATGTGATATAGCTATTTGTATCTAATCTTATGAATAAAGAAACTAAAGCTCAGCAATGTTAATTGACTTTTAAAAAGGCACAGTTAAGTGATATAGCTTGCTTTTGACTTCAAGTGTTTGACACCAAAGTTTGTGCTTGTCTCTCTTTAGGGCTTCGTTTTGATTTGTACTTTAGGTAATGGTAGAAATGAAGACTCAACATTATAGTGGAATTAACTAGAGTAAAATTTTTTTATACTTTCTTTTTTTTTTTTTTGGTACTGGGGAGGGATTGAACCCAGGGTACTTAACCAATGAGCCATATTAACAAACCTTTTTATTTTTTATTTTGAGACAGGATCTTGATAAGTTGCTTAGGCCTCGCTAAATTGCTGAGGCTGGCTTAGAACTTGTGATCCTCCTGCATCAGCCTCCTGAACTACGGGTATTATAGGCATGGACCACCATACCCAGCTAATTTTTAAATTTCTAATGTGTTTGTGATTAAAGTCCTTCATACATGGACTTATTCCTGAGTAGAGGGAGATTACAAATATTTCCATTACATTACCATCATAATAAGTGACTGCAAAATGTCCAGAATACCAATACTTTAATTTCAAATAAATAAGAACTTGTATTTTAGATGTATAGCACAGAAATATTCATAAATCCTTAAATCTCTTAAAAGTTATCCTTTCATTAATAATACAGGTTCAAAAGGCAAATATATTTCACTAAAATCCTTTTTCACATTGGTACTCAGTGGCAACGGTATTAATTTACTCCAGTTGATAGTGTACTCTGTGAAATTGTATAGTTCATATTAAGTTTCTTATGCCCCTCCCTGTAAAATAGAAGCTCATTATTTCAGAGCATGAAGCTTGATTTTTTTTGCATGCTTTATACACAGGAGTGTTCCCTCCTTGAAAACATTATTGATATTTCATAACTGTTTTTTGCTATGTTTCACACAGAACACTTACATATCTGCATTTCTTCATCTTCTGGAACGTGTTAGGAAACACTGGCAGAGTAGTCCTAGACCTTTGATAAGCATACAACTTGAAAGTAATCATTTGTTCTGTGTGTGAAGGCACTGTGTTCATGAGCTGTAACAATATTCTTGCCTGAATTCAGCATGGAGAGGGTAGAAACCTACCTGATCCTCTTTAACTTAGTTTCCGTCAGTACTCAATGTTTTTCTCTTTTTTGGTGCAACTAACTGGAAGGGGATGGCTAATTTTATATCAAGTAAACAAATGGCTCACATATATACATTTTTATTCTTATTTACCTCATTTTCCAGGTTTCATACCCTAAACTCACTCTTTCTTATTTAAAGACAGATTTTCTGGCATTCTGATGGTCTTCATTCTATACTTCTGAAACCATATACTTATTACATATTTCCAGATATTTCTCATTTTTATTCCCCTTATCCATCAATAGAAATGAACTAAATTTGTTATAGGCTCTTTTTCTAATAAACCCTTTCCTATTACTATATCATTTACTTCCCCTATTACCCAACAATTAATTGTCCATTTAAAATCTCAGGGGACATTTTCTTTTCCCTCTTTTTTCACAGTTCAATTTTTAAATAGTTCTAAGATTTAAATAGGTATTTCTAAAACTTAAATATATTTGACTATATACTTTCTTTGGAAATGACTAAACTAACAAACCAAATGATTTTTACCAGGAGCATGAAGATTAAACTCATAGCATACTTAACACTAGTGAAGGTAATTTTTTTATATTGTTCATTTTTATTTCTTCCTTTGTCATTAGTCTTTGTCTGTTTCTTCATTCATTTATAAACTTTTTTCATTGGTCTATTGATGTGGAGTTGCTATGTAGGGTTTTATTCCACTTAATTTAGAAAGGATAATTTCAGCTAAATTTGTCTTCATCATAGGTGTCTTTTGCTATTCAGAAAATTTTAATTTTAATAAGATCAAGTCACTGAGTATGTTGGTTCCTTTATTTTATATAATGTTTTTTAAAAGTCCTTCCCAACCTTAGGATTAGTAAAAGATGAAGTTTTTTATTCTAACACTTTTCTGTTTTTTATTTTTTAAATTTTAAATCCTTATTCTATTTGAAAGTTATTTTAATTTTGGATTGTGCTAAGGATAAAACTGTATATTTTTGTATACAGTAATTACATTATGCCAACATCATTTGTTCTTCCATGTATTTTATTTATTTTTATTTTTATTTTTTAAAGAGAGAGGGGGACAGAGAGAGAGAGAATTTTAACATTTATTTATTTTTTCTTAGTTCTTGGCGGACACAACATCTTCGTTTGTATGTGGTGCTGAGGATCGAACCCGGGCCACACGCATGCTAGGCAAGCGCGCTACTGCTTGAGCCATATCCCCAGCCCTTTCCATGTATTTTAAATAATACCTTTATCACTTAAGATATTCTTATATTTAGTTGAAAACAGCATCATTTTAATATTCTAGTTTTATGATGTTAATTTTTGATAAGGCTAGTCACTTCATTATTATTGGCTACTCTTGTGGTCTATATCTTCAAATAAAATTTAAAATCAATTAGTATAATAAATATTTGAATTTTAGAGGCATTATGTTTAAAAACTTCATGTAATAATAATTATGACAAATTGGGTCATCTAAATAAGAATAATGATATATATATATGTACTTCCATTCACTGATTTATTCTTTGGATTTCACTATGGTGTTTAGTATTATTGACATAGTGTCTGTATATATAGTATTACTACAAATGATTTTGATCTTTGTTGAGAATTTAAAATTTCAGGCTAGTTTTTTAATGAAAAACTGTATCAGTTTTCCTAATTGGTAACTTATGAATAAAATTATTTTCAGTTGATTCTGCTCTATTTTCAAAGTATGAATTAGAAAGTGAATATTTTTCTCTTCCTTTTCCAAAATCATACTTTCTTTTTTAAAAAATGGTTCTTTTTAGAGGCACATGACAGTAGAGTATATTTTGACATTTTACATACATGGAATATAACTTACACTGATTAGGATCCCATTCTGGTGGTTGTACATGATGTGAAGTTTCACTGCTTGTGTATCCATATAGAAACAAAGGAAAATTAAATCTGATTCATTCTACTGTCTTTTCTATTCCCATCCTATCTTCCTTGTCTTCATTCCTCTTTGTCTAATACAATAAACTTCTATTCTTCCCTCCCCCACCCTTATTTTGTGTTAGCATCCATATATCACAGAGAACATGTGGCCTTGGGTTTTTTGAAATGGGCTCATTTCACTTAGCATGAAAATCTCCAGTACCATCCATTTACAAATAAATGTCATAGTTTTATTCTTTATGGCTAAGTAATATTTCATTGTGTATTTGTACCACACTTTCTTTATCCATTTATCTGTTGAAGGGAACTTAGGCTGGTTCCTTAGAGAGCTATTGTGAATGGAGCTACTATAAATATTGATGTGGCTGAGGCACTGTAGTATGCTGATTTTAAGTCCTTTGGGTGGAGTGGGATAACTGGCCAAGGACTGGGATAACTGGCTCAAATGGTGGTTTCAGTCCAAGTTCTCTAAGTAATCTCCATACTGCTTTCCAGAGTGGTTGCAACAATTGGTAGTCCTATCAGCAATGAATGTGTGAATCTTTTCCTCTACATCCTTACTAACATTTATTATTACTTGTATTCTTGATAATTGCCATTCTCATTTTCTCATGAGCATATCATGAAGTTTTTCTAGAGACTACATGATATGTGATATAAGAGATTGAGCACATATACAGATATGAAAATATCTGTCATTTATTAAGCTAGACACTAAATAGATTCTGAAAAATGTAGAATAATCCCACCAATCTTCTCGTTGTTTTTGAAATGTTGTTATTTTATAAAGATGCAATTTATGTGAATATTGAATGCATTTATTATTTTTTAAAATAAATTAATAAATATTTAAAACATTTTATATTTTAAATTTCCAATATGATTTATATTGAAATAATAAAACACATAAACACACAATGTTTTGTTACCTTTCAACTTTTGAGAGTATAGAGGAGTCTGGTGACCAAAAAATTTGAGAACTTCTACTAAACCTCTACTCCACTAGATACTATCTTTTTAAATGTAACTCTATAATGATAAAGTAACAATTAAATTAGGTATAGTTTGTACAAATATATCAGTTAAAGATAATGACCTAAATGTACTTGTAGATTTTTTATTTGCTGTGCCTCATGTAACTCTGGTGTATTTATATATGGCTACATTTTACTGTATAAAAATATTCAATGTTGAATATGCTGTCTACACAAAGAAGATCCTTTTTCATTGGCTAGAAGACCTGTGTTTGGTGTCAGTTGCTCATGAGATGTACATGGCCATCATGCATTTAACAAGTGTCTTCTATTTCTCTTATTAAAATACTTCATAACACATACACCTTTAAATAATTGCACCAATGTTATATTTTAAAGACAGAACTCTGTTATACATGTCATGGATATGTATCTAAAAACAACTGAAAATTAAAAAATGAATAATTCTGTTAGAAATACAAAAGAAATGGGAGTGCA